AGGCAGGGTGAAGGGTGCAACATGAGCCTGGGCAAGCTGCCGGTGCTCAGCTGGGTGTCGGGCTCCCATGGCAAGCGGCGGCTGAAGTCGGAGCTGACGCCGGACATGATCAGCCCGCCGCTGGGCGACTTCCGGCACACCATGCACGTGGGGCGCGGCGGGGACGTCTTCGGGGACACCTCTTTCCTCAGCAACCACGGCGGGGCTGACACGGCCAAACACAACAACTTCTTCGCCCGGACGCTGCGGCACGTCCGCCGGACCCCGCTGAAGAGACGGGGCAGCGGGGGCCAGGTGGGGGCCTCGCCCGCCCCCCCGGCCATCTCGCCCATCATCAAGAACGCCGTGTCGCTGCCGCAGCTCAACGAGGGAGTGTATGATGGAGCCGGCGGTGGCCGGGCCTTGACCAGCAAGTTCTCCTTCAAAAGTGCCTCCAACAGCTTCTCCAAAACACACCAGGCCTACGGTGAGTGAAGTGCGAGGCAGAAGCTGGTGCCCAGGTACTGAGCATCCTCTGCAGCCCTCCTGCATTGCTCTGTGCCTCAGTTTCCTCTGCAGTGAGGAGCTTAGGGTTTTAAGGAGAGATGGGATATTTAAGACTGCCCCATCTTGACAATCCTTCCAAGCAGATAATCCTAACCTTGCTCTGAACCACGGTCCTTGCTCCTGCCCTTGGAAGGTCTCCCAGGGTGTCCCTCAAAGCAGGGAAGGGATGGTTTCTCTGTTTCTGGCCCTGTCCTGTAGCCCCATACAGCTGTCAGCCTGTAAGACTCCTGTAAGGAAGCACCCTCCATGTACCCTCAGTCTTACTACACCTTTCACTTGAGCAGCCTCCCTGAAGAAGCCAAAAAGGTGCTGGGAAGGGATGTTTTCTCTGTTTCTGGCCCTGTCCTGTAGCCCCATACAGCTGTCAGCCTGTAAGACTCCTGTAAGGAAGCACCCTCCATGTACCCTCAGTCTTACTACACCTTTCACTTGAGCAGCCTCCCTGAAGAAGCCAAAAAGGTGCTGGGACAGTGGAGCAATTCCCACTCCAAGGCTGTGAGGTCAAAGGGACCCACAGCATGGCCTTCCCCACCTCAACACAGGTGCTCTAACCCTGTCCCTAGCTTTGCCAACCTCTACATCTCCATGTGCTGCTCCTTAGGGATTCCACCACCCTTCTCCATCGTCCACATCCCTCCCTGCCAGCCAGGGTGTGCTTTGGGGAAGGGTTGTGGGAAGGATGGAACAGGACATCTGTGTGGCTCCTCTCCAGCCTCATAGCACTGGGCTGTGCTCAGCTTTTCCCTAGGGAGGGAGGTCTGGAGCAGAAGCGGGGTTGGATCTGGGGTGCCTGCAGCAGCCGGGGGAGGTGGCCGGGCTCAGAGGGAAAGGCAGGCTGAGGCAATGCTGCCATCTCCTGGTCTCACCTGCCTGGCTATGCCCCCACTGCCATCTTAACGAGCCCAGAGCCCACCTGGAGACCCCCTGCTGGAACTCTGGGCTTTGGAGGTGTCCACAGAGACACTGACCTGTCGTTTAGAGGCCAGTGCCACTGACAGGAGCATGACCTGATCCACTTTGTCAGCAGTGTCCCTTTTCCCCTGTAGAAGTAAGTCAGGCTTCCTCCCTCACCAGCCATACCTTCTGCCTCACAGGGCTGGAGTCCGGATTTTGTACCATCCCTCGTGTCCCTCGCTTGGAAAAGGCCCAAGAGAGCACCTGTCCTGGGGAAGATGAGCTGGATCGCTCCGACTCTCTGCTGTCCTTCCGCCTAGACCTGGGGCCCTCCCTGATGAGCGAACTCCTCCAGGTGATGAGCTTCTCTGAAACCAATGGCAGCAAGGTGGGGGAGGATGGCCCACACCTCCTGTGCGAAGAGGGGACCAAGGACAGGGTTCCTCCAGCAGTTCATGCATCCTATGAAGAGGACAAGGCAGCATCCAGCTTCTGGGACCACTCCAGGCAGAGCAACCTGTCAGGGGCCAGCTCACTGCCAGGTCTGTCGATCCATGCCAACGGAGAAGCACATGCCATTGAAGGCGCTGGACCAAACTCTCTCTGGGTTTCAGGGCCAGGGGCGGTGTCCAAAGGGTCCCCATGGCAAGGCCACTGGAACGACTGCACCATTGAGGCTGGAGAATTTGACCGAGCAACCCAGGTCCTGGCCCGCCATTACGGTGGGACCAGCACCCCACGGAGCTCGGAGAAAGGTGAGGGTCCCCGGCAGGCCCGGACACAGACCCCGTGGGAGAGCCCCAGCAGCAGCTTGTGGGGATCACAAGTGACAAGGGAGAGCCGGTCCCCCGAGGCCAGCTGGAACCAAGGAGAGGAGGAGGAGGAGACCAAGCTCTCCAGCCTGCAGGAAAGCTACAGTGGTGCCCGAGGGGGCCGCAGCAATTCCTTCGAGTATGCCGATGAGGAGGAGGAAGAGGACGATGAAGTCAAGGTGTGAACAGCCATCCCGCCCATCACAGGCCCCACCAGAGACACTGGTGCCGGGTCTTTGCCCTCCTCCCTGTGCCCTACCTGCTGGTGCCAGTGTCACCAGCAGACCCAGTGGATGACCTCCTTGCCAACTGGGGGCACTGGGCAGGCCGGGGAGGACAGGAGGAGAGCCCATGTCCTGGGGGGCTCCCTGGGCTGGGCCAGGCTGCTGCAGAAGGCCAGTGGGCTCCACAGAGCCAGGCATAGCATCCCTTCTCCAGCCTCATGGCCATTAGACATCAAAGGAACATTCCCATGTGCCAAAGGAACCCCAAATCCTTCCTACTCCATCCCATTCTCCCCAGAACCCTCTCTCTCAACCCTCAGCCTAGCTCTACCAGCACGTCTGGGGACATACTCCATCCTTCCACTGACGTTCCCAACCATCCTCTGCAATGGCACACATGCCTCCCCAGAGATATTCCTACTGATAGCTCTGGCATGTAAGGGACGGGGTTTCCCCGGCTCCAGCTGGTGCAAGATCCTTCAGAATAGCATATCTATCAGGGGAAGGTCAGCTGGGGTTTCAAAGGGCAGGCAAACCCCACAGAGCTGAGCTTTCTCTTTTCCCTACCCACCCTGAAAAAGCTGTGTGCTCAGTGTTCAGGAGGTGAGAGCATGCACAGAAATAATCAGGAACGTTTCCACTTGCCTCCTGCTGCTGGGCATCACTTAGGACAACTTCCTTCCTGACCCCCCCCCTCCCCTCAGCAATTGAGCAGCAATTGAGAGGGGAGAAACTTTTGGCTGACTGGTGGCAAAGGCAGGTTGTCAGGTCACCAAATTCTGCAGTTCAGGCCCTAAAAATCCCTTCTTTTCCCCCTGTCTCAGAACAAGGAGACTCCTCTGCAGCCACTCGCTTTGTGCCACCATCCTCGTGGTGGTGGCACAGTTTGTCTCTCCATCCTTGTCCCCCTCCCCATTCCCCACACACACGCCCCTCTTTGCAGCACACCCCTTCCCAAGGGTCATGTGGACCCTGGCTGATGTCCCTCGCCGAGTGGCCGTGGGTGACACAGCCGCCCTGGAATGAGCTGCCCCCCACGCTGGCCCATGTGCAAACTGGCCCTCATAGAAGCGCCTTTGTGCCGTGGTGTGGAGCCAACATGCTCGGGGGCTGAGGTCACTGGAGGGACCCTCACAGGACCCCCCTTGTTCTCTGGGACAGGAGGGGGTGTGCAGTGGGAGGAGATGCTGGGCCATGGCTGCAGGACTCTGCTCTCACACAGTGCACCCGCCACCCGGCTGCTTTTGCCAGGAAGCTCTTCAAAGCAAGATAAAGAGCTGCAGGGTGTGTGCATGCTGCATGTGGAAGTGCCACTTGCAGCCAGGCCACCAAGGTTAAGGGCAAGCCCATGTTCCCCAGCCTCCCCAAGGGGCTGCCTCATGCCAGCCACCAGCAACAAACCAGGGCAGGCACCAGCTTCAGGAAGTCCCCAGGTCTGGCCACTGGCACCCAGCAGGATCAGCCTTACTCTCCCTTGCACCTTCCAGGGTGTGGACCTGGGCTCTCAGGATGAGCTCCCCTCTGCCCTCTGCTTCCCAGACCATAACACAAGACCAAAGACCCATATCTGTGGAATTATCCTTTCTGCCTTCCCTCTGTATCCCATGCACTTATTATTGTCCTTATTAAAACAGTTTTGATACTAACTTCTCTGGTGCGTCCCCTTGGCTGCTGTGATCTTATTGTCTTCCTTGCTGTGTCTACTGAAGCTCCAGCACCAATCCCTCCATTTTGGCGGTGAGGAAGTGAAGAGAGAGGGCAAGGACACTGCCACCTTGCCTTGGACAAGGCTCTCTCTAAGATGGTCTTCTACTCTGCTCTCCTCCCACCCAGCCTGAAGTGTCCCAATGTTTGCTGTCACACATCAATCTCACTTTTGGGCTGGCAAGATACTTTTCAATTAGAGCAGCAGTGTGTAATAATTGGGACTATTTGCCTGTAGTCCTGTGCAAGCCACAAAACTCAGCCTAAATCCCACTGCCTCCCCTGCCCCATTTTTGATGAGTAGGATCCGCTGTGGAAATGTCAAAGTAATGGCTAACCTGACTGAAATGTGCCAGCAGGTGAGTGAGGTGAGGTAGAAGGGAAAGTTGGACACAATCCATTATCTATGGCAGGAATGCTGGCTGGGGGAACACCTGTGCTGTCCATGCCACCTTTTAATTAAGCACTTTTGTAGCACCTAATGCCACATCAAATGCCACTTCATTTACATTTATGCCTTCCTTCCCATTTCACCATCCCCCTTTCCCAAAAGCTGGGTTGCAGGAAGTAATGGAGCTTTGTGAAAAGATTACACAACTGTTTCCCAAGCAATCATATAGTGTCCTCATCCTGGACCCCACCTATAGCCTGCTTTGTCCTGCCTACTATCCCTTCGAGCCCACAGCCTGTTCTGACCTGGAAGGTACCTGGCATTATCCAACAAATGGCTTCTTTCCTATTGCTGGGAGAACCTTGGACTTTGTCAGTGGCTTGCACAGAGACACAAAGCTCTAACAGAAGACAAAGCAGCTGGAACAAGCAGTCTTCTACTGGCTTGGGTTTTTATTAGAGCTAGGATGCAGTGCCCATCAGGTCATCTTGAAGGAGATGATCTTTAAGCCTCCCACGATGCTTATGTAGTTGATATTGTGGTAGCCATGCCGGTTGGGGAAGCACACTTCGTGACCATCCGGCAGTTTCACACGGAATTTGTCTGACAGCATTTCAATGAAGAACTGGGAGAAAATATAGAAAGAAGGGCAGGAACAGGGCGCAAGGAGGGTTTTCAGTGCTGGGGGTTGAGGTGAGGGTGATTCAGGAAATGAGCAGTTGATATCAAGGGTCTAAGCAGGAATACAGACTATGACTGGAGACAGGATCTCTTCTGAGGCAGTTTCAGCTACTCAGGCTGTAAACTCAGAGCAGCTAAACCCAGGTATGTCTTTACATGTCTTCACAGAGCATATGTAATATGTACACCACCGCTCTCCTCTGAACAGGGCAGAATAAACCCAACCCCCCAGTGTTCTCAGCAGGTCACCAGGACACAGGAAAAGGAGCTTTGCTGATAAACATGCACAAGCAGACAGGACAAGAATGCATCACCGGTCATTGAAAACTAAAGGCAATATTCCCCAAAGCCATCACTTCACTACCCATTCCCCAAGAGCTAGTTCTGACTGAGGAAATAAGCTTTCTCTCCACAGCTATAGCAACTGGACTATTCCTAAATGAAGTGTTGTTAATGATTTGGGACATCAGATAAGGCGAGGCAGCAACTAGCACAGCATCCCTGGTAGGTAGAGAGAAAGGACAGATTGGCAGCATGGATCCAGGAGTAATAGGGACAGAAGAGTTCAGGGAGAGGCTTTTGGACATTGCTCCAAACTAGGGGTTGCCTTAAAGCCTGTGTTTACATAGGAAGGAGGAAGAGAAATAAGGTAAACAGCAGCAAAGCCCTGCTTCTTGGAGACTCCTTTTACTTTTATACATGCCCCAGGGTACACTCACCTCTTGGGCAGATGGAGGGGCAAGGAAGCACTTACAAAGCATGAGACAGACAGGACTCACTTAAAATCCCCAGAAACAGCATTGCAGTTTTTAAAGAGGAGTGGAAACAGCAATCAGGACAAAAAACCCAGAACAGGCACCATTGTGAGGGAGCAGGATGTATTGGGTGGGACCGGGAAAACTACGGTATGGGAATCTGCTAACCAGGGGCTTCCCCTCGCACCCCATAACCACCCCCACACACCACACATACCCCAGGCTGGCACCCTCACCTTGACAGTGCAACCCCTGAAGAAAGGAAGGTGGTGGTCACGATGTTCTGTCTGCCAGAAATCAGAGCACTTGGAGTTACAGACGATGACAGACTCATTGAAGCGGGGATTGAAGTGAAGTGCCAAATCTCTTGAGCTGCAGCCAAGATTGATGCTGAAGCTATAAATGAGCATGAGGAAAGTCATATGCATGGACAGGAGACGGTCTTGGAAGACAAGATCCACACACATCTCTGCACCCAGTTCCTCCATCAGTGTTGCAGGTGGCATAACAATGTGCTATTTTGTATCTGACAACCTTGGAAAACCACCTTCCTCTATAGCCCAACTTCAACCCCAGCATGCCAAGGTGGTTTCTTTGTACTTACCCAACAGTATCAGCAGATATTTTGCCCTTCACCTTCAGGGTGTTCCCAGGCTTCATATTCAGGTTTAAGATTTCAATATTTCCCTAAGGCAGAGAAAAATAGTCTGTGGGGTTCCTTCAGCCATTCCTCCTGACTTGCCACTGCAATTGAGAGGGTGCTGCTTGGAGGCATCCCAGCCAAGAGAACATATATTGCTCTCAGCTGGTGCTTCTCTCATGACGAAACCCTCCATGCTGCAAGTCTTGTGTGAACTTCTCATTCCATGAGAGAAGAGTGGGCTGAGTGAAACCCGCAAGAGAGAAGAGACATCAGAGAGAGAGGAAGTGAAAACTGACTTGTCCTCAGCAGAATGACGAGAAAGCAGGACAGGAGAGATACAAAGAGGGTAAACCAGAGGAGCACTGTTCAGGGTTTGGTGGAAAGCTGATGCTGCCCAAGAAATGCAGGTGGTGAGAGTGGCAATGACTTGCCAATCTTATTCAGCCTTGCTGAGCTGAGGACCCTGGGTGACAGAGGACAGGAGCAGCAGTGCTTACAGGCATTTTCCTCAGAGGGCAGGGTAACCAGGCAGGGAGAGACCAGCAGTTTAGCTCAGAAATGCTTTGCACATAGGACCTTACTGCTCTAAACTTCCCTGTGGCTTACACATTAACATGACTGCTGCCTCTGCAAAGCTCCAATGGCTGCTATTAAGCCAGGAGACTTTGATCCTAGTAAAAAACTTCCATATGTACACTTCTTACTAGGAATTCCAGGAAATAAAAGCAATCCCAGCCTCCTTGGTGGGCTCTCAGTGGAAGGACTATGACACACAGCCCTTAGGGTGCTACTTTAGACATGAGGTAGGACAAACATATTCCCACCTGGCCAAGGAGTGTGACCAGCATGTTCACTTATTTCCTGTGTGTAACAGCTCACCCAAAAGAACATCCCAGCTCCTTCCTTTTATGGCAATAGGCAGCTCCAAAATCCATACCAGCAGACAAATATGATCTCCACCATCCTTCCCCACAGTGCTCCAAAAAGGGCTCAAAGGGGTTTAGAGGAGAGGACAACCAACACACTCCCTCTAGATGGCATGAGTTATGGAGTGTCCTCTGCAGGAGTGACATAATGGCTCCTTCCCTTCTTGTGGCTCTAGATTCAGCTGTGTGGATTGCAATACCCTTATGTGGCAGCTCTTCTGCAACCTCCCATCCAAGCCCTATCTAGACCCAAACCTTTTAGCCTGAGGAGCCACACACCAGGCCACTTCAGGTTCAATAGTCCCATCCTGGAATGTTGTCCTCACAGGAGAGTATCACCTCTGCTGTCTTCTTCCCAGGTTAGAGCTATGATGTCAGTCAGTGCCCCTGACTTGTAAGACTCCTGAAGTCAAGTGGAAAAGGGAGATAGAGGAGGAGGAGGAGGAGGAGGTCAAGGCTCGGGGGACCAGTTGTACCTCAGTCCCCCTCCCAAGCCCTACAGAGCACCTGAGTGCTCCTGCTGCTGTACAGACAGCTGGTAGATGGCTTCTACCCTTCCCTAAAACATCCTGAAGAAAGGAGAAGTACTGATAAGCACTCCTTCCCTGGAGGCATTTCCCACAAGCAAAGGGTCATAAAGTCTAGCAGGCTTGGGAAATTTGTTTGCTTTGGAAGATGTTGAAACTGTTGTTGAAACCTCCAGGGCTGAGCATGGAACCAGCAGGAACCATGCCGGGGATGGTGTTTTCTGGCACTGGGTCTCTTTCCCACCACACTGCTGTGTCCACGGCATACCTGTACACACCTTCACATCACACAGCTGCCATCCCAAGGATAATACAGAGCCCAGGATCCCCTTCTCAGATATTGGAGCAAAACTGAATGTCTGGCTAAATTGCACAGTAACTCGCTTTTTATCTGGAGAGTAAGGATTTGCTGTCTGAACGGTATCCTGGGTATTCCAGTCTTAGTAAATATACCCATGAGAAGGGGGTCTTTTACAGACTTAGGCAAAGCAAACAAGCAGTAATTGCTTATTTTCATGAAGTATAAACATACTAAACCAACGCGTATCTTTCCAACACAGTTTATAAATGCCATATTTGTTGACCTTCATTACTTGGTTAAATTTGTAAACAAAACTTAGAGATACATACACAAATTAAAACCCCCAAACACAGTACACAGAAAAGCTAAAGTTGGACTAGGAGAACCCTCAGCTCGAGGTACAGTTTCTAATATGCAGGATTCCTATAACCTGGAAAAACCATAAACCACAATCACTCAGTTTCTGTCTAACCAGCACAGTGTGTTAACAGGAGGGTATTATCCATCTGACAACAATTTGATGGATTTTTCCAGAACTATCTTTCACTTCCCAAGTGTAACACAGAAAACTTTAGTTCTGTCACCACCCTATCAATACCTACAGCAGTGGATATTGTTAATTGAATCAAGTCTTGTTTTAGATTTTGGCTTTGCTGTGCTGGTATAAATTTGACAGGCTCACCAGTGGGATTCAGGTGGCTTCCCAGAGGTTGCTCCAACCCATCGCATATGGCACCAACAATTCTCTATTTCCTGTGAGAATTCATACCAGGTAGGTATGTGAATTTGGTCTACAGGTGGTTGTGCCACTGCTGCAGTAATATTCATGGTGCCATCCATTTGTATGTGATCTTGGGCATTTGACACAAACAGTTTCAGCCTATCTGCAAGGCGACGAAGGGGAGGAGTTAATAGGGCTGGATTGACAGAAGCTACCATCAGGACTCACCTTAATTGATTACTTAAATACATGCTGCCTTTTGTACAGAGCTGCCAGATCTGAGAATCCTGTAATTTTAAACAGCAGTAGGCTTTCCTGTGTCCTGTGTGTCTATGCCCCCAGCCCAGTAAGTAGCTCAGGTAGTCTATGAGTAGTTATGGTTACCTGGGGTAGTAGTTAAAAATACTCTATGTCACCAGAATCTTTCTTCCTCACTCAGCATGATCTGATCTCTGTGCATAAGGGAAACTTGTATTCAGTTTTGTATTCCCCTGAACATCTAGAATGTTCTTCCAGCAATATATCTTACTCTGCAGGGAACAGTAGGTGTGGGTTTCTCCACCCCCATCATCCACAGTTTCAGTTTTAATTAAAGGATGAACTTTTACCACTTTTGGGGTAGGGTAAGAGTCTGCCTCTAAATCATTGTACCAAATATCCCCATCCCATGTTTCAGGATCCTCACAATATACCACCCTATAGATGTGCTGGAATGAAATAGAGGATGATTCATGTGGGATTTTATCAAGTCATTTACCTAGATTTTTCTGCATCTATTTTTCTCATATTTCAGCTGCAGACAGTAGTTTTTTCTAATTGTTCATTTTTATTTAAAATAATATCTACTAGTTTTTACAATTTCTCCTATGTCCCTTTCTCAAAAGACAATGCTGTTCTAAGAACCTCATTTTCTCACTTCAAACTCATAAATTTTACATCTGCAACCGTTTTCAGGTGGCAGTAAGCTTTTGATTTTTTGCATGCAAGATAAACAACCTCCCAAAACTGCACAAATAACTTACCTTCTTACCTTTCATGGGCAACTTACCTTTTCCTCCTCATCCTCTTTTTCATTTGACCTGCAAATTATTAATGTGATCAACTATTGCTTGTACATTATCACAATTAGTTTATGCCCCTCCCACCCCTGGAGGAGAGAGGCAATTACCAAACTTCTCCAGGAGGGAGTAAAATTTTAGCTTTACACTGGTCACCCTTGATAACCATTTTTCCTTCGGTCTCCCTCAGAGGGAGACAACCTGGGCACACCAGGCAGGAGAAAGCTGTCACCCACAGAGGGACAGTAAAAGTTACAGTAAATGCTTGGTCAATCTCCCACCTGGAGGAAAGAGAAGTAAAAGTTCAGAACTGTTGAACAGGACTTTGGGTCAGAAAATGGTGATGCTAATTAAAATTTTATGATTCACTGTTGAAGTTGTCTGACCAAATGAAGGTGGAAAGGAGACTAAATGCCAGTTCAATAATGCTGACTTTATTTTACAAAATTAATCTTATATGGAAAAGAGAAAGGGAGGGAGAGAGAAAGAGAGATGGGGAGATGAAGCAAGATAGGGCAAGTAGAAGGTAGTCACCTCCATGGATCTAGCAGCCTCCCGTTGGTCCTTCTGTGCCTTGGGCTTCTTGATGGTGGGTGTCATCCAGTTCACTTTATATCCTGAATGATTCTTATGCAGTCCCTTATTTGGGTAGAAAGCAGAGGTAGAAGTAACTTTCAGTTCCACATTATCATGTGAAGAAAGAGTAGGCATGGTTCTGCCATTGTGCATACTCAGATCTTAATTTGATGGTCACTGGGGGTCTGTTCTGGGAATTGTGTGAGACAAGTACCTCAAAAAAGAAGTGTCCTATTTGTGACCCCACTTCTAGCACTTGCACAGTAGTTCACTTCTTATCTAACACACACCACAGTTGAACTTGAACCTGAACAAAACCTGAACAGTTTTGTTTCAGTTCAACTGAACCAAAACTGAAACTTTGCTTCCTTCATAGGTTATGCATGGGCACTCGTGACTTTTGTTCTGCAACAAGTTCACCACCAAGCCCTTGTTTAAGATATATGCTGCAAATTACAAATCCTTTCCTTACAGCTGCCTGAGAGGGAGAGCAGCATGTGTCTCCTACTGTGTCCAGTTCTGGGCTCCTCAGTAGTACAAGGGACATGGAGCTCCTGGACTGGGTCCAGTAGAGGGCTACAGAGTCAATGAAGGGACTGGAGAATCTCTCTTATGAGGAAAGGCTGAAGGAGCTGGGCCTGTTCAGCCTTGAAAAGAGACAACTGAGAAGGGACCTCACTAATGTCTATCAGCATCAGAAGGATGTAGCCAGACTCTTCTTAATGGTGCTAAGCAATAGGACAAGAGGCATCAGGCAGAAACTGATACACAGGAAGTCCCACCTGAATGTGTGGAAGTGCAGGTGACTACACACTGGAACAGACTGCCCAGAGAGGTTGCGGAGTCTCCCTCACTGATGATATTCCAGAACCATCAGTATGCAATCCTGTGCAATATGCTCTTGGGATGATCCTGCTAGAGCAGGAGGTTGGGCAAGGAGGAGATGATCCCTGTGGGCCTTTTCAACCTGACCCATTCTGTGATTCTGTCTGAGCAATGAGTAAAACTCCCCGTGCAGAGTGGAGTGCAGAGCCACAAGTACCATGGATGTGAGAATACACAGAGAGGGAGACGAGCAGGAAAGAGGCACGAGCTGCTCAGACAGGGGCCATGAGATTTTATCAAGATAACGTTTACCCCCTCCTACAATGTTCAGCCGGGGCGTTCACCCCCCTTTTATTTGCCAAAGGGAACAATAGTGGGAAGCCAGGCAGCAACTCTGCCAGCACTGGCGACTTCCTTCGTCTGCAGAGCTGAGCCTCCAAATGGTCAGACACAAGCCCTGTGCAGATGGTCTCCCTCATACAGGAGTATGTGCTCTCCACATCAGAAGGGGATGAGACTTTAGGGACCCCAGAAGATTCAAAATTCTCCATGCAGTTGGAGAATTTTGGAGGTGGCAATTGGGATGATGAAAGGAGGGTGACAGGAGCAGGTTGATACTTCCCTGCTGACACTGCAAAGCAGAAAGCCTGGGGAAACAATGATAGCATGGGAATGTAAATCCCACAGAAAGAGGAAATCCGGCTAAAGAGCATCTGCAAAAGAGGTGGAGGATCTGTGCAGTAGGGGAAACATAAACAATAGCTGTGGAAGCAGGCAGCCACTAGTGCAAAAGATCCAGGAACGCTTCACTCCCCAGAGAGATGATCCTATAATAGGGTACCTGATTGGGAGCACCCCTCCAGGGCCCCCTAGATTTTTACCCAGGCCAGAGGGCAGCTGGCTTGTACTGCTATTGGACACCCATGTTCACTTTCAGCCAGAAGGATGGCAGGGCAGGTCCTCTGCAGAGTGCTTTCACCCCATAAAATGCAACAGCTCTATTTGCAGAGATCCCATATGGTAGATTTTGGGGTCAACAATCTTTTCCAGCCTTCCTCCTAGTCCTAAGGTGATCTCAGGCCACGAGGAGTACCAACAGGATCTCAGGACCCTTGCAGTGCCTCCAGACAGCAGCACCTGATATACCATAGCCTAGAGCTGCCACCTCAACCACAGGGCACCCACACAGCTGTTGAGAACAGACTGAATGCCACCCTCCCCAGCAGGCTGCCAAGATCCTCGGCAGCATCTCAGCATCTCGTTGCTGGCAGCAGTATTTATTTTGTTCTCTTATTTGGGCAGGAGATAAGCCAGCTAGGTGTGAAGCCCTGAGGAAAACCACAGACTTTCCCATTTCCCAGCCAAGGTAGATTCAGTGGTTAGAGGATTCCCAGGGCTTTTTGTGGCAGAGACAGCCCCCAGAATCCACACCAGCATGCCAAAATCCTCCCCACTGTCTCTCTCAACAGTATTCTGAGGAAGGGCTGCAAGGGGCTCAGAGGAGAGGGAGTCAACACATTCTCTCCAGACAAGGTGAGCTATGAACAGTCCCCTGCAGGACTGACACAGGTCACCACCTGTGAGACATAATGCTCAATACAGAAGGTAAGATAGGAAGATAGAGAAAGGCAATCAGGAAGATAGAGGAAGGCAAGGCAGCCATGCCAGGTGCATGGAAGCATGTGCCCCTGTCCCCATATCAACCCAAGCTCTGCAAGAAGAAGAGAGAGATCCCTTTACCACCCTCATAAAAGGCTTGGTGCTAACGAGCCACCAAAGAAGTGGCACTGGAGAATGACACTGCAGTACAGATAAGGTACCTGTCCCATATTGCACTCCAGGCACCAAAGGAGCCTGTGCCTTGGACCAGGCATCAGTGTCTGCTCAAGGCAAAGGGAGCTGGAGAGACCAACCATGCATTCTTTCTTGGAGCAGCAGCTGCTTACTCTGCTATTATTTCCTACTGCTTCATATAATTTGTACTCCACAGCAAGCTATTGTCCCTTTCCACTGGCTATTTATTTCCTTGAATAGCCTCTGGGGAAAGATTTCAGTGCGGGAGTAAAGAAAAAAGAAAAACTCCACACAATAAATCTCAAGCAGTGACCTGATTTAAACTGTGTTCTCTGACCTCATCTGGGCCCTGGTTGTGGTTCCTCATGGCAGTTGTGATTAAGTCCTGCTTCTGCTTTGATTTCCTCTCTTCATTAAGTCTAGGGGGGAATGACCCCTGCCTTAGAGGGCTGTGGAGTGGATTTTCAGAGGCCAGGGCTCAGGATACAACTGAGCAGAAACTTCCACCACCTCCCAGTGGAGATGCTCAGCCCTCCACCTACCAGTACAGAAATTCCTGAATAGGACTGGCTTTCCCTTTAGTCAAGAGGTGTTGGTTGGTCTCTCAGCAAAGAGTGCTGCAACCTACACCCAACTGCTCCCTGAGCTCTGAAAGTCAGCCAGCTTCCTAATGGAGGAGGACTGAAAGAACAAAATGTACTTACCTCAGCCAAACACTGAGGTAAGCAAGAAACTGGGTAAGCAGGTCTGTGGATCTGAAGGGTGTGTACCAGAGAGAATTGTCCAGGAGATGCAGGAGAAGCCAAAGCAAGGATGAGCACAAGAAAAAAGTGCCCAGAAGCACTAAACTCCTCCCTAAGATAGTACCCAGAGTGAGATGGCTCCTCTAGAGAAAGCACTGGTCTCCACATTCAGATTGAGTAAAATGGGAAGGAACAAAGGACTAGAGGTTAATCTCCTGCCATCCCTCCTGCCTCAGCTCCCTCACAGCGCATTATCCAGAGCACTTGTGGAAACTATGGAAGTAGCATCCATGATGTAAATGGGAGGGCAAGACATTAGAGGCCACCAGCATCCAGTAGGCTCTCCATGAACATCACCCCTCTTCAGCTGTAGGGTGCAATTTCTCTTCCTTAGGATGTGGCGGAAAAGGAGGAGGAAGAACAAAGATAGCTGAAGAACTAAAATGTGGGGGGAAACATACACCTTTCTTCAGGGCAAGGGACAGCAGTGAGAAAGGGAATCTGCATCAAGCAGTGGAGCAGATCAAGAGCACAGGGAACAAGTACAGCCTCAGACTCCATCTCTCTCCCTCCTCGATCAGAAGGGCAGTGGTGCCACAGTGGCTGGCATCTCCCACCTCCAGGGGGGAGCTCAAATGTGCTCTTGATGGATGGTTTCCATGTTATGTCCTTGTACCTTTGCAGGGGATGTCTCTCTCAGGCAGCCCTGAAGTCTGTAAAAACATTTCTGTGTGGTCTGAGCTGTGCGCGGGGAAGGGGAGAAAGGTGGTTCATTTGCAAGGAAGTTGGTAGATAAGGGGTCGTTTTTATCAACCCAAGCAGCCACATGAGTCATGTCTTCTGAGTTCCCAGCTTGGCTGAAGGGCAGGAGAACGAACACAACTGGCAGAGGGTGGAGAAAGGAGGTCAGAGGACTGCTTGACATGCCACCCAGTTCCATTTCCAGATTTCATGTCTCTAATTCTTTTACTCATAGGTGCATGCCAAGAATCTGGGTTGTGGAAAAGGCTTTCAAAAACACGCCTGGAGATAATAATTCACTTGTGTTGAAAGCTTCCCTACTGGAAAAGTGAAGATGTACAGAAAGCTCACAGCTTCTCTCTCTCTCTGGGACCTTTGGGATCATGCAACTTTGCCCATATCTTCTGGATAAGATATTATTAGCTCAATGGGAAAAGGATCTTCCAAAGAGCTCTCCACAAAGGATCAGCTTCATGAGGTCTTATGGTCCACTTGCATCTTCCACCAAAAGATTAACATCTACAACAGTTTTATCTTACCATTGAGCAAGGAAAATGGTAGCTCCCTCACATGAGGAAATTGAGGTACAGACACCCAACTTCACATCCAAAATCAACTCCTCCTGTTTGGATTCTCATCTTAAAGCTTCCACGGCCACAAAATCAAATCAAATCATTTTGCAAATCTGTGCAAAAAGCTAAAAGGAAGCTGTGCTCCCCTAGCTGATACAGCTGGAGTATCAAATATGCTGATCTCTCATCACGCCATCTACTATCAGCAGGAGGTACTGAGGCATTTAGTGCCTCTGGAAAAAATCAGCCCTTGGTGGGTCCAATTAAGTCTGAAAAACAGAGGCATTCAAAGAAGTCTTCCTGCAGTTGAAGCCATGGGACTTCCAAGATTCCCCAAGCCCAATTTCATTGACTTCAAGGGGACCATTTGCCACAACACAGACAGCATGAGACCAGCTGGCTGGAACTAGAATAAGCAAAAAAGAAATGCAGCATTGCACCATTATACAGAAGGTCCTTGGGGA